AGAGACGATGGCCCCATTTAAAATTAACCCCAGCCAGACCTGTGGTTAATTTTATTGAACTTGTATCTATGTAGGTAGTTTCCGACACATGATGCAAAGTTCATCGTAGTAGGGTTCAACCGTTATCATTCTGCAAGCTTCACGATAGCAAGCCGTCCATCAACCGAACATCTGCACGATGATAGGTATATAAATCGTCACAGATTTATGACCACGAACATTTCGCAATGATATGTATTCTTCTGTTAAAAATATCTCGAACAGAACGACCAATATTTCCACCAGATGCAAATAGTTTGTTATCGAGTATTGAATGTCATGTATCTAAATGCAGTCTCAAAGGTCGAACTTCTCACATGTTGACAGACATATCATAAGTTCTAAGTAATCCCTGTCTGCTTGTAATAGACATGTAGGCTAGAGGCGCAGGCGGAGTCGATGACCGAGTATTGATCCCGACGAAGTGGGTCGCGACCCGTTTTCCGTTGCAATATAACCAAGGGGAGCAATGCAACGGTCATCTCGGTACGACATTGCATTAAGTTGAAGCCAACAGTTCAACGTAGTCTACACGTGGTCGTGTTCTAGATAGCTATGTATTGAGTGTTTATTTCTTTTTTATTTTTAACCTCATGCCTTCATCAACGTCTATTTATAGGATTTAGGGCTGTTCTGTAGTTGAACTGGTAAAAATCAAACGTGGGAGTTGAATGGGTTTGTACTGGATTTTTCGCAGGCATTTGTTGACGGATAGGTTGTTGGATTTACCGTGCCATATAATAGAAAAGGCATTAACAGAAATGGATGATGAAAGACGTTAATATTTATGTAGTATCTATACGCAAATTTCACGAGCATTGCACAGCCAGGACGGTCGATGTGATGCGTGGCCTTCGGACATTTACTACCCGACTTGCTAAATGTCAGTCACGTCAATTCCGTGTTTTGCCGTAACCGGTACCGAGTTATTGCTTAGCATTCCTGTAACATTTTCATTAGTTTTTCAGTTAATATTGGGCTAAGCTCACCTTTCCTTTATCTACCCCTTTGAATTGATAGGTACTATTTATGGTAATGTGAAGAGAAAGTCTGAATAATTTATTTCAAATAATGAGGTCGGATATCGACGGATCGCTTTCTTCGACCAGGTTTCTTTGTGTGTATAAGTTACTGAAGGCACCTACATTGAAACGGTAAATCGTTGTGATTGGTCCATCTAGTGGTGGGTAAGTATTAGTCTTGTGAAAGTTGATTTGCTGCACCGCATATTCCCCACTTAACTGCTAAGGTGTGAGGAGCGTTCACTTAATACTTCTAAAATGAGTTGCTTTATTACTAGATCTTGGTACAATGTCAAGGAAGTAATGAGCTACTATGCAGCAGTTCACGAGAAATCTTCAATTCGAGCGAAATAAATATCGCTGAATGCCGATAGCAGTTTTCCTTGTGCGCGTTGTCCCAATTTACTATCTGATTCCGTTACATCTTATCTAAATAGGAAAATTCTGGAAGATATAAATCATTTTGACGTTATTTTATCTAAATCGCATGGCTAGTCTTTTATTTTATCGATGCTGTTGTCGGTGATTCTAGAAATCAATTCTTCTGATATGCACACTTTATAGTCAGTTGTCAGTATGTCCCAGAATAATCTACTTCACCCGTTGCCATGTCGACGAGAATGGATTTGACCTTCAGAGTGTATATTACATCACCCAGTTTTGGCGCCATAATGTGCAGACGGTTTATTTAATTTTAGGTACATATATTTTAGACAACTTTGGTATCAAATAAATAGAAAAACTCACAAAACTTAGTTGCTAAATATCTTTACGCGTTTCTAATATTGAATAGCTAAGACAGATTCACGCACTTTGCAACTGTCTAAGAAACTATGAGAAAAATGTTTTTATACTATAAAAGACTACTTACTTACAAAATATTCATCAGTAGTTTGAAAGTATGATTTGTAACTTTTGATAAGCAATATGATAAGTCACAAAAAGCCAATTACATGTTTTGAGTTTCACGATAAATGATAAAGAATAAGACAAAACACGCTTACATAACTATGATTACACTAAAGGTACTAAAAATATTACTAGGTTAATTATATGGACTATGATGAGTAATGGCTATTAATTCAAAAATTGAAGGTTCAGCCGTCTGTGTGCTTCAACGAGTATTTAATACAACAATATATTAATCGAAATGGTTGCTTACTCACACAATACTATACAAATTATTCTTAGTTGGTCGAGGAAGGAAAAACATATCGGTTTCTTCTATCTGGTGCGTGGAATTTAAAAGGTTTAAGAAGAATGCTAACCTAAAGTATTGTATAAATATAGGGGGGCAGTAAATGTTATTACCTACTTAATACTACACAAAAAAAAATCCCTAAAATTTTTGCAGGCAAAGATTTATCTTATAATTGATTTTCAGATGATAAAAAATGACAATACGCTTCTGAATGTTTTCGATTCGATTGCCATGTTCAGTACATGTACATGGGTACCATTTTTTGTTTATGGAAATTTGAAACCTTGCTCTCTTAATTAGTCCTTACAAACAAGCAGTGTAACATTTAAAATTTTTAGTGTCTGCTTGTTTAAAACACCAAAGTCACGTTCTCCATCATAACTTGATAGACCATTTACTCGTAAGGATGATAAGCCATGGGTACAAGCCATTCAATTGAAAGTACTCATTCAGGCGCTTTAAGTCATATTGAACTGCTAGTCTTGTCCTGCACCTATGTTATATTAAATTTTCATATAGTCGGCAAGACTTAGAAGGTTATAATTATGAATTATCACTGCACAGCAAAAATACAGGCTAGTATCACTAAGATAAGTATGCTTTAAACACATATTTATCTGATAAACTCTTATCAAATCTATAATTACTTAGATATGAAGAGAGTTAGTGTGAACAGATTTTTATCTGCAAGGATAATACCTAATAACGCTGTTCATGACGTTACTGGTGACATTTTTAATTAAGTAGGTAAATTGATTAAATACACATGCATGCCAATACTATTTTGTGGTTCCAAACATATTTGACGATTTATAGGTTCACATCGACTGTAAGTTTCTATTTGTTTATGCTAGGAACCCACGCTGGATGTCACGCCACGTGCTGGATTCACGTGGATACATGTCACGTTTTATCAAACTCTAGCTAGTTTAACACCGAAGTAAAATTTCTATTCATTACGTTTTTGTTAACTTTTTGGGATTATTTACATCAAATCAAACCAAGGTTTACTCGCTAAAACACGTGTATACATATAAACGCAGAGGCATGTAAATATAAAATACAAGATACAGTTAAGACACATGCAAATTTTTCGTTATATATAAAATCGATAATTACATTATTCTTTATCACGCTCATCTCATAAAATTCAGTGAAGATTCTATAAAAAACATTAGGCTGTTTTTGTCTCTTTACATTAACCCTAAAAAAATAACTGTTAAAATGGCACTAAGTGTCATACTATCATAAACCTTGTCATATTTATTGTCACCATATAGTTTGGTCTATTCTAAATTAAGGATTCTTCAGCAACCAAGGCCCAGGCAACTTATTATATTAGTCTATAAATGTGCGCCCAGATCTGGCGCATATGCTAAATGTGGAGGCAATATAACAATTCTCAATGGACCAGAAAATTTTCTCACCGTGGTGGTGCTAGATTTATCACGGGCGGGTTATCGTGGGCAGGCTTCAATAATAAAGGCAATTGTGGTCCAAACCTATTTTAAAATTTAGTTTGCTGTAGATGAATATCTTTAGCAACCACAATTTTATTTGAATAAATTAATAGTATGTTAAGTGTTGTGCAGAATTGTGCAGAATCTACTATAGACCTGATTCTAGCTTACAGCAGAAGTAGCAACATTGGGAAGCAACGTGGCCGAAAAAATAGCACGTTATTGGGAAATCTTGGGGTCGTGTCGAACCGATAAAATCACACAATCATTTAATTGCAAAACTTACTAAATCGATATTTTTACAATATTAAGGAGAACGAGGAACCGTCAGGGAATTAATCTCTTTTAAATTGTTTCCCTAAAGGACAGCTACGAGAGCCCCTTTAAATCTCAGTTATGCGTATGTACAGATAGCTACGTGTGGGAGTTTCTTAATACGAATTCTTTCTCGTTTTTCTCGCTATTATTAGAATGTGACTGTCGAGCGGCGTCGCGGTTGCTAATCGAATCTTCTCGGTTACAGATGCGTTCGTTGGAAATGCAATTGGTTCAGTTAAAATCTTCTTATGACAAATTATTCTGTCAATATTAATAATAAAAATATAAATAAGCACTTCAATGAAACAGTAGTTTATAATTGCGGTATTAGTATTCGATTATCATTTATCAAGTTCGAGGGGCACTGTTTAGTCTCGTGTCTTCTAATAAGTATTTGAAACATGATTCATAATTCTTGCCTGTTCGAAAATGAGATCTATCAAACAACCATTGTTTCATTCACGATGGATCATAACTTGTGAAAAGTTTGAAAACTTTTGCAAAATGTGTGGGTAGCTGTTGTGGACTTGTGAGCGTGTGTGCGATGTGGTTAGGCGTGCAGCGCGCGGAGTAAGTCTGGCAAGTGACGCCAACGCCCCCGCCAACTCGCCGGCGCGCCGTACGGCGTGACGTCGCTCGTCGCGCTGGGGCGTCGCGCCAGTCTCTGCACAACCGCGGCACCGACAGTGTCGACCCGTTGCGATGTAAACGCTTAACCTTCTAATCTGTCTACAACGACAGCCTCAGTTGCGTGTGCACGATAATTTCAAGTTGATTTTCTCATCAGTTCAGTAACTTTATTTTTGTGCAAATATTATTGTTTTATCATCCGTTGCGCCGGATACATGTAAGTGTAGTTTTTGTGTCATCATTAACATTGGTGTCCTGAATTACTAACGCGTTTTGAACGAATCCTCAAGAGTGTGCGAGCGTGACCAAAGTAAGACTGTCTGGGGACCACGTACGCAATTTGATCCTGGTCGGTTGGATATGGTCAAATTAAGTGACCAGGTAATTTATTTAATAATGCGCTTTTTCACTTCCCACTCTACTATAACTTTAAGCGTAGTTATACATTTAAAAAGAGCATAATGAATCAACAGGTGTTTAACTGAAAAGCGTGGTCACGCCTCGCACAGAAATGTAACCATAACTTATTTGTTTCTTATTTATAAATGATTTTGTTATGATGACCTGCAGAATGTGCGCTTCTATAAACTGATGACGTTGTATGCTTACGTATTGGTAGCAATGGCACAATGAAATTTATCTAAATTCCAATAAATTAACGCAAAATGATTAAGTTTTAAGTGTGAAGGATCCAATTTTTATTCTTCATTGTTCTAAATTAGGGTCACATTAAATAAATGAATACATACCTACTTACATAAAAGTAGGTGAACAAATACAAGGAGAAGTAGGGCGTGTTGTGGAAATAATATGGCTTGTTTTCTTTTTGTTAACTTATTAAAATTAAGGGAGTGGTTTTTAATGGCACCATCTTGACCTTTGCACTAGTGCCTTTTGTCGGGCTATTAGTATCCTTGATGACATATCTTTAGTAGCTATGATTATTTTACATGCTGCTTTATTATATCGAACCACTTCGACCATATAACGTGGGCTATCAATGTCACGGTCAATTACGATAGAATATACCTACACAAGTATCTTCTTAGTTGCTAGTAGGTATTTTTAGTTGCCTGTTAAATTATCCCGTTACATTTCACATATCTATTCACCTTGGATGCGATCAATCCTTTTGGTTACTGATATAGTTATTGTTATTCTCTGAATAGCTCAAATCTGCGTCATACATACCATACGAATCGTAATAACCACCATCATAAGTTACGATGGTGGTTAGTACATGTCATTTGCATTTACGTGCTTTTAATAACATTTCAACTTATCAAGATTTATAACAATACAGGACTAATTTAGGTAAAAACATGTTTTTTGTAAGTTGCTTTCTAGTCGTGCACAATTTCACTTGCGTAGCTCATGCTTATGCTTGAGCTCGTGCTCAACAAGATAGAGTAGTTTCGCAATGGTGGAACCTTTTTAAAATTTGTCAAGTATTTTTGGAGTGTATTCAATCTAAACAATCAAATCTTTACTTTTTATAATATGAGTATAGAAAACTGATTTACTTCGACTCCTTATTTCCTCCTCATTCAACTCCGGGTCGCGTTTTAGATATTGTTCGTAACCTTTTTTCTTTATTTAAACCTTTCACAGTCTTCGAGGTCGCAGGTAAATGTGTCACATCCATAAAGCGCTCGAGAAGGTCCCTGTAAAAATAAAGAAATGTTATTTAATTTTTAATGTACTATAATTTGATTAGTTATCATCGATTTTGTTTAGGGTAAACATAGTCATGTAAAATAATGTTACGTGTTAGGGGTGAAACCTTTTGAAATCCCAGTGAACTATTAGCCAATTCTCGGCATAAACATAAGATTAAGTTGTTACAATATCATGTATGTCTAACCTAATTAGCATTAGGAAGCTATGCGCAAGGATGAGGTTGACATACACAATTGCTGAATTTAATAATTAATAGATACCTGAAAATATTTTCAATCTTACATATCTCTTAAGAACTGCCTTAGTGCAGCGTTTTTACATATTTACAACATTGGTGGTTATATTTAGATAGCGAGCGGATATGACTTCATGTGGATGATTAGACAACTCATTAAACTTATAACGGCTGAGATAAATGCTGATAACATTCTCTTGATGATAAATTTTCGTAAATATTTGCATGTTTTCATTTTCACTTGTGATTCACTCAACACTGCGCTTAACCTAAAGACGGTGAATATTTCAAACAAAATTTCCGTTGGTAATTACATTTATTTTTTATTGTGAAATAAATATCAATACACTAGCGCGGTACTTAATGGAATTGAAAAATAGAATGAGTCAACTAGACACACCGCGCCCAGTTATTTTTAGCGTCATTCATTTCTATATATCTGATTTTTTTTTAACAGAGTTGGATTAGTAGACAAGTAGTAGAAGTTGCTATTTTAGAATCAATGAACGGACTTATTTTTGCAGACTTATCAGCTCACATACTGATAACAGTAATAACATTTTTGAAGTAGTTAAACCAAGGATCATCAGGTGCTTCATGCTAGAATGAAAGGTATTATGTAATGGCCAATCTGTTTCCCTCTATTTGGGATAACAATATGCAAACATGATGTCATGTATGTATGAATCGCACTCTAATAGGTACCAAACGAGGTGCGTCGGAGCAATTCAAAGTCAAATAGTTTTGAATGTGGATGTTGCTATTACGATTCGTGATAGCGCAATATAATAGGTATACACATTACATAAGTCATGTGCCTGTATCTTAAAAACTTGAAGTATAAAAAGATATCTTCATACTCGTCTGGTTACTTATTATTAACCGGGTTGCTCCAATATACCAATAACCGGTGATTTATATCTTTAATGACATCTCTGACCGATAACTTACTATGATAAATAAATATATATTTTTTGCGTCACCATAACATTACTTTTAACCTTTCGTGTGTTTTAGATTTCGCGATACATAGCTAATGTATTTTCTATTGTGTCTTATAAACAGACATTCAACTGGCTAAAGTACATAGTATATCGTTTACGTTCATATGCATATGCCTAGTATTTTGTTTATTAGCCAGTGTCTTTCAATTGCTGAGCTGTGAACTCGCTAATTTATAAGTGTATTTTTCTTAAATATCCCTCGAAAATGCAAATATCAGTATCAGATTGATTTGTTTTGTATAACCAAGATTATGATCGAGTGCTCCGGTAATAAACGTATATAGATTTAGCTCTTAAAGGCGTTATCAACAAGAGAATATTTTCTGGTATACTTCTTACTTAAAACATAGTACAAAATAAATTCAGAACCGATATTTCTAGTTATTCGTTGTCCACTGATTGATTACAATATCGTTGTTAAATTTGTAATATTGCAAAAATTACGACATTTACGACCACTAAATGCTCATGGAAAAAATTGCGTTTTAATTGAAGTTGGGGTAAACAACATTGAGGCTTGTAATGACTGCTTCCTGGAATTACTGGCAATGAAGCAAATTACCACCAACTCTCGCAGATGTTGCGGTACACCGGCGTCGTCATGTTTTAGTCATTTGAGAAATATCTATATCTCTTGGGAAATATTGTAATTGGATGCGACGCTATGTGATATATGTATATAGTATGATAATATGTGCTCTTAATGTTCAGTCATATAACAATAGGTAGGTAATGAATCATCAATAGGAATGGGTACAATTATAATAAATTCATCATTGCCAATTCTTTACAGTCGAATTAATATACCTATTAGCAGATAGTCAACTTGTCAAATGCCATACCATTCTCCACATTCATTATAAAATTAAACAATATTTAATATTTGTGCGTTACTTTGACCACAATTAGGCACATTGTTTTCAATATTGTTTGCTGTGGTTCGGTACTACGTTACAACCACAACATGGCGGAGTTTGCCACGTGTCGACATTATAAATTCGAGCTATGTTTTGTTAGTCTTCGTCCATTGAATGCCATAGTTAGACTGCCAGTGCTATTGATAGACCAATAACATCCGCATCCTCGTGCCCTTGCACCTATGAATAGTGTCAATCAAAATATTGTTCCCGTTCTATTTTCAAATAAATCGATAATGACTTATGTAATGCTTATTTAGAATGATATATGATTTGCTGTTTGAGTAAATCGAAAACAAATAGCTTCTAGTGTCTGATGATAATTCTGACTAACCATCTTATTGGAAAAAAAATCTAAATACTGCGAGAAGTCTCTCTGGTTCCGATATTACAGATGTTAGACTTGAATTGTCTGCATTGTTGCACATGTGTGTGCTGTCTGGCTCAAGTTTATCGACCGTCTCGTCTAGTCCACACAGTCCTCCCTTCGTCTGCAGACTTCTCTCTTTGTCTCTAAAGTGATTTATAGCTCACATTTTTATATATCCAAGTTACTTATGATCTCACACATTTTGTAAACGTATCCAATTGAACCAGTAACGTCGTTAATGCAACATAGTTCTTTTGAAAATGTAGCTTAATCAACTTATTTTGTATTTATTATGATTTTGGTTTTACGTTGTTCTTAAGAAATACATACACACACGCGTAAACACTGGTGACTTCGTTTCATTTCACAATTCAGTAGCGTGTGTAAGCTGATAACGTGCTATTTTTGTATCGTTGTCTTTCTTATTTTTACCGTGGGTTGACCACTTCATCTGTTTTATAGGTATTAATTGGGCAATCATGTACATTGTTGTTATAGTACATATTCTACAATATAAATTGTATGAGACTGTTGTGCCACTCCTTGGAATAAGGAATCTATATTCGCTCAAGGAAAATTAAATTCACACTGAGATATGTTTGTCCGCGCGAATCACTGTTCCTTTTGGCCTCATCCCAAGTCTGCATCGTCTCCTTGATAAATTCTCAAGGAAACAAAACTATACCACTACAAAATATTTGCGATTTTTTAAAGCTATGTATTTTGAGGGTGGAAAGTGAATGTGAACGGTGCCAATGTTTTGCACCAGTATTAAACACGATTGTGAATTTAGATGTAAACATATGACGTGTATAAATAAATCCCACGCCGGTATTGAAGCTGCCAACATCTCGTACGCCGCTGCCGCTCTGCTTCAGAGTTTAACCTGCGTCGCCCCTGTAATTCGTCGTCTTTATTGTTTTGTGCTTATTGTGATAAAATTTAACTAAGTGATTAAATTGACTTCAATTTTCTCTTGTAAGATGCCACATATTTTGAGGGCAAACGATATAATTTATGTTGTGCTAACGGCACTGTTCTCTTTTATACCTCATTTATTAAATAAATTTCGTGATCTCCAGTTGTTTAGGAATGTGTTGATAAGTGTTTAAGAAGAATATGACTGTAGAAGAATAACGTTTCTATGTACGTGTTTTATCTTTATGGGTTAACATTTTAAAATGTGAATGTTATATTTAATATCACATAGGATCAATAGTAACAGTGATATCCAAGACAAATATTGAAAATGGCCTTACGTGTTCTTTTAGAATTGATAAAATATTAAGCTACCATATTTATATCAGTTTCACGTTGTCCATTGAAGCTATTAATATCATGACTTCCAAGAAATAATCACTGTGTTCATAGCGTAAACATCTTCACAGGGTCATAACAAAAACATCGACGCATTTTGCTAAATTTGATTTTCGCTTGTTGCAGCTGGAGATCCCTTCTGTGGTGACATTGATGGAGTTCCGCTTGGACAGCGCGGAGTACTGCCAGGCCCAACACAAATAAACTGCAGGGCGTTTCGTGCGACGAGGGAGCGGAACGTGCCACCGCTGGACCCATGCTGCCAGGAGAGCGCGACACTACGCACCCCAAACGCTGTACCACGTACACCCACCCACAGGTAATACAAACACAATCTCTAGCTGACAACGTTCAACCGCCATATTGAAATCAGAGTGGGGTGTACGGTGTACCAAAGCCGTCCCACGACCGAACTATCAGTTGTTATCTGCTCCTGACCAAGACAAGAACGCGATACCAGTGATAATAGTGTAACTGAATCCGTTTACCTAACGCGTTACATCACTGTAATAATATAATACGGGCAATTGTTGAACAGGTATTTATCGAAATACAATATAGCAGCAATGTTGTTCAGATGGCGCAGTGTTTACATATTGTGTTATCATACTGTTGTGTTGTGTGTATAAAGAGCTGAACTGTGTGAAGCACGTCCACAATTGACGCGATGTTGGCTCTGGATCAGCTCGGAAATACCAATGTCGATGGACAGACATAAGCGTCCAGAACATCGCACGTCCACATGACCGAAACTTCGCTGTATACCGAACACTATTTTTAGAATTCATTTTTTATTCCACTTCAGTGGTTGGTCTGGCTTTGACGCAAATACATTTAAAAATGATATTCTCCGTAAATCACAGCGCGGCACTGGCGGAATCGCTGAGATTAACAAAACTTTTATTTTTGTTTCAGTTACCTTAAATTCGGAAACCACATAATTGAAGCATATCATTCAGTTGCCGACGACCGTGTGATAACAAAACTTATGTTTTTCGCATAATTTCTTTTAGTTCCATTCCACATTCTGAACTTTTGTTTGTTCGTCTCCGAATGCGATCTAGTGGTTGAAAGCGACATCCATGCGGGTGGTTCTCATTATATAATTGGACCCTTTCTAAACAAAAGTAACGAAACTGTCGTGTGTTGTGTGGAAATAGAGTGACAGTTTGTCTGTTAGACTGTGACGGACCGTGACATCTTTCTCTGACGCGTGTGCATAAGAACCAGCCAGGTGTGGTATATTGTGTGACCAGAGCGAAGCAACTCGATCATCATGAAGCAGAAGGACATCAGGCCCGCGCCCTCTCTAATCGAGTACAAGAACATGCGGTTCCTCATCACCGACCGCCCATCCGACGTCACCATTCAGTCCTATCTTCAGGTAAATAATGTTGTTTTTATAATGATAAATATTTATACGGCTTACTCACGTGATCTATTCAATGTTTTATGAGAGAAAAGTGAACCACAGGCCCAGGTAATTTGCCTTATAGAAATAAGCCACTAAGAACTCGAAAATACCTATTTTAGGAACCTTTTGTTTTTAAGTTTAGATTATAATTCTGATTATTTCTTTACGTTTATGTAAGATTTTAACCAGACTTTCTAATTGAAAACGCCTTTTACATGAACTTCTTACCAAATCATGATGAACTAGGTTAAAATAATCCCGTCGTTCAAAATGTCATTTTAATTCCGAAAACGTTGTTTCGTTATTGGAATACAATGTATTTCTATCTTTGTATTATATGTAGTCGTTATCTTTGACGACTGATCCATTGAATCACAAAGAGACCAAGGGAGTGAACGATGGCTTTTAAAACGAACGCAGAAAGGCATAATAATTTTTTTTTCGTCTGCCCATTTACCAGAATATATTTCAAACTAAAGATCATCACCGATTTTGCCACCAGATTTTTAAAGACCTTTTGAATTTGTTGGAAAGTGGCATGTGCATCATAAGTATAATGATGACATGTACAATGGTTTTGGTGCAGGAGCTGAGGAAGCACAACGTGTGCACGGTGGTACGCGTCTGCGAGCCTAGCTATGATACGGCGCCTCTGAAGGCCGAGAACATTGAAGTACGTGACCTCGCTTACGACGACGGGACCTTCCCACCTGCTAACGTCGTCGACGACTGGTTTGAGATTCTGCGTGAAAAGTGAGTATGAGTGTGGTCCGCAAATAGTTTTAATCTTAAGATCGCATTTGGCAAAATACCGACATTTTGAATCCTTAGTACTAAGTATGTTTGCGTCTGTCCTTCGTGACTAATGGACAGGTAGTCATGCTTAATTGACGCAGATCATTATTGTCAGTTTCCTTATTCTGTGGTGGAAAATCTAAACAAGACAGTTTCAGAATTGTCGTGTTTTCATTTCAATTTACTTGCATCAATCATAAATGGTTTTAATTTCTACTGGCTCTCTATTACTCGTAGGCTTTATGAAAAATGTTGTTTGCTCAATTATTATAGTAAATGCTGTTTATTATTGGATGACGCACATTCAAAGTTATCGTTACGTAATGTAGCAGTGACGCACTGATTATGATCGACAGACTACCTACATAAATTTCGAATTCGCCGGTTTATTTGATATCTATTAAAGTTGTCTTAAAACCAGTGTTATTGTTCCACGTAACTTGTATTATGCAAATTGCCTTGTTTGGTACGTGTTGCTCTTGATTGTTTAAGTTATTAGTTAAACACTAACAATTGTACGTAATATGTTTATGTTGACATACGCTTTCCTTAAAAGACAGACTAGTTTTGGAGCTTATGCTGATATTGGGAGGTTGATTAATAATTGTTCTTCATTGTGAATTTTTTTTTTCACATGGCGTACAACAAACTTTCGTAACGATTAGTTAGGTTAGGAAACGACCATCATGTTTATTATGTACGTAATAATTAAATGTTTGTTTTTTCGACTCGTCAGAGCGCAGAACAAACCTGAAGCTGCAGTGGCGGTGCACTGCGTGGCAGGACTGGGCCGCGCACCCGTCATGGTGGCCATCGCTCTCATCGAACTCGGCATGAAGTACGAGGAAGCCGTAGAGACAATTCGAGAGTGAGTACATTCGTTGGTATAACAAAAATTGATAAATATCAGTTTGAAGTATATTTATAAGCAACAAGGTGACATCCACCTTTTGAAAGAGAATCTATTGTTGAACACATGACTCAAACAAGATGCTTATTGCGATTTATTTATGATTGAAAATCGTCCTTCAAAAGAGAAAAATTGTCGAATCGAAATTCGACACGATAATTGAAAATATTCGCGCCATTCTAATAAAAGCCTCACGATTTCGTGATATCAGTCTGCACCTATTATTTAAGTGCTTGCACGTAATATACTTTGCAGGATGCTAAGAGGCGTGACGAACATATACATTAATAGATAATTGAACGAGAAACGTGTAAATGTATATTTATATGAGCATTTTAATTAGATGCGGCTTTGTAATAAAAATTGCGTTACCTTTTTGGGCAATAAATGCACAATGTTTTTGTTCTGACGTTGTTATTAACGTGTCCTTTGTATTCCAGTCAACGCCGCGGTGCCATCAACGCGAAGCAGCTGTCGTACTTGGAGAAGTACCGGCCGAAGTCTCGGCTGAAGAAGAACGGGCACAAAGGTCCAAACTGCTGCGTGCAGTAAGCAGTCCGCGTCCGTGGAGCACCGTCCTGCGCCCGTAACAGCGAATGTAGCTCTGCTTTCACACACACACTGACACAGGGGAGCATAGACAACAATCAATTAGTTTTTTATCCTAGTGTCGCCTCTTTTTGACGACTATTTTCTTTATTTTTCGTTTCGTTGGGGGGGTTGTAACCGAATTCTGCCTTAACCTGCAAGAGCTTGGAATTAGCACATTCCCTTTGAGTTAACCTAACACGACTGAGAATTTGGTTATGATCTCGGTACCTTATTACCCGTTTACGACATGTTTATCTCGGGTTTTCTATGAAATTTAATTGAGAGCCTTATTGTAAGCTAATGTTTGTATGTTGAAAGTTAAGGTGTAATAGCCCTTGTGCTGTAATGTGTATTAGTGAAATATGTTAATAGAAGCGAGCCACGATTTGTGTTCATAGTTGAAACAGTTACTCGGGTATTCATATGCCTATATTCAATCATAATAAATTCAATATCCATAATAATGTGAAACAGTCAATCTAATTTTCATTTCTTTCCGTTTGTTAATATGTCGTTGTGTGGTGAAATCATGTTTTCCTAATTTTCCTTTGTAGACACTATATTTACCCATATAATAATAATAATTTGAGACATAATAGAAAATCGTTATGGTTTTGTGTTTCTTAAGACAATTTGACGTGAAATTACTATAAATTTTGCTTTTATATGATATTGTGAGAAAATGTTTATTATTTCGAATGCTTTTCAGTATAGCTAGTTTTCCAAAAGCATTCAGCCTTTGACTAGTTGCCCAAACATGATGAAATTCTAATCAAATGCAATATAACCTGACTCACCGAAAAGTTCCAATGAAGAAAATAGCTCTTTGATATTATTTTTCTATTTCTAATTTTATGAAGATTATTATCGAAATATATGAGAAAATGTAACTACAAGAACTCACATTCTTAAATAAAAATATTTATAAGCAAATGATGTTTTATTTTAGTATTTGTAACATATTACAAAAAAGTTCTTAGTAAACGAACTTAACCTAATTGAGGTAGTGTGTGGAGATTTGTGTTAACAACACTTGAGAGAATATGATACTATATTAAATACATTTATATTACAAAATATAAACATATTATAACATATAAACAAGTAATAATTATTTCCATAAATATTGTGATAAAAGTATAAAGAATACATTGAGGAAATACCAATAAAATTTAACAAATAAACTTTAACTAGGCAACCTTATCCCTGCCCTATGATTTGTACTTATGATCATTGTTAACATGATGAGTAATAAAAGGTAATATCTGAGGGTCAATCAATTGATACCTGAGCGCTGAGTCGAAGTACATTGAAGGGTCTAGACAAAATTACACATAACTTTTAGACTTAAAATCCAGTGTATCGCACTCATTACTTCTAAAAATGCGGGTACATCAATCGCGAAGTTAGCGAGCGCTTTTTTAAAAAATCTCAAAAATAATGTGGTGGCTATGCTGTGAAGATGCTTCACCACCACAGAATTGGATATATGCTTCGATGAAGTTGGACTTGGCGCTCCGATAAATTGACCCAAGTAAAATAAAGTATCAAGGGTTTGTGGTGTGTTAAGATCATTGATGAGATTATACAAACCGAGGTAGTAATGAGGAAAACGGTCAGTAGACTATCAATAGTAAATAACAAAATTCAAAACTACAACTACTTACAATACTTAACACAAATACTTAAACTTACTATTTGAATATACAGATCCACATCAGTCTGTTTTGTAATAGAGTTTCTTCAAATATTGCTCATTTCTTAGGTACATACTTGTGTACTTTCCCGCCATACCTCGCTATAAAAGCTTTGATGTCGAATTTACGTTTACATCCATCGTAGTTCATATACCGTATTTTGCCAAACACCGCTCGCTCTGCCCACCCCTGATCGTGTATACCGCAAACTGACCACATACATCCTGCAAAAACGTCGATAAAAGCTTGAGGATTTAAGATAATATATTTTTACATTACCACTAATTGATTTTGAATGTGTTTTGAACTGTTAATTTACGACAAAAACAAATATGCAAAAATACTAAGTAAAATCTTGAGCGAACAAATTTAATTTAATGTTCGTGCTGAGCTCTACTAGTTTGTAACATGCTTTTTTTAAAAGTGCCTTTAGGATTAAAATATCAAATCTAATCGTCACATCATCAGCCTTAAGTGCTGTTGAGCCAAGGCCTCTTCTCATTTTCTCATACGGAGAAGGTTTGCGCCACGCTTGCTCAATGTGGAATGGAGATTTCAAACTTATAATTAGAAATACAAAGAATATTGTCTAAATATACGTAGAAAGTACATATAACTCGGAAAGAGGAAAGTCACGGTATTAGCGAGATTTCGAGCGGACAACCTCATGCATGAGAAGTGGGCGCCTTAAACTCCGGATAATCATGACTACCTAAATAAAAATATAAGATTATTAAGAATAAATGAAGAACTTCTTACCAACATATCCATTTGGATCTCGCCCATCAATACTATAATGATCATTCAAGTATATGGAATACTTCAGAGCATCTTCAGGTGTAGGTGTCCACTCAAGGATTTTCTTCGCCCAGTACATGCGCAGAAAGCCATGCATCTTGCCTTCTTTCACTAGTTGAATCTGGGCTGAATTCCACAGGTCATCATGTGTCTCTGACTTGGCTAATTGTTCCAGAGTGTAGATGTGGGACCTTTTATCCTTTCTAAAAAAATGAGAAAATTTATCTTTACAGTTTTATTTATTTACAAATGGCAAGTGATTGTTATCGTGGCAAGTATGAAATATAATTTTGAGCACATAATTTATAATTTGTGTTCTCTCAAAAAGATGACAATATGCAGACACAGAAGTGAGCAAAAATTTTCATTAATGAAATACATCTTGTATGAAATGCCTTGTCACTCAGTTGTACTGAAATATTGAACAAAACATGAGCCTCTTGCTCGACAGCCTTGAATGCGACTGCTCAACTAGCGAGGTAGTTAGCATGATATAGTATGACAAGGAAGCAGATCCGTCTCCAATCATGGAGTAAAGTATAAAAAGTATATAGTTTAAAAATCATACTAACCTATGATCATCAAGTGTCTTCTGCGCCCAGTTGCTGGCACCTTTGATGCTGTCATAATGTTCACAATAGAAACAGAAGTTGTCTGCTAACTCACGACGCACGATAGCTTCTTCGAGGAAAGCATTCACAGATTCAGTATGTTTTCCCTTGTGCTCTTGAACGCATAGAGCTACTCTCTGTACTGATATTTGACCTGAAATATCAGTAATAACTTTGGTTACTAGTGATAGAAAAATAATTGTTTTAATGCATGTTCTTTGACTTTAGTAACTGGTTGTTACTAAAGTAAGTACTTTCTATGATTATTTAGACACCACTGACATACGGTGAAGGTAATCATCGTGAGGAAACCTGGACTTATAATTTCTAATTTTAAGTCTGAAATCGCCAACCTGCATTGAGCAAGCGTGGTGATTAATGCTCTAACCTTCTCCGTATGAGAAGAGGCCTTTGCTCAGCAGTGGGCATTTATAGGCTAATGATGATGATGATGATGAACTGGTATTAAGATAGAGAATAAAACACAAGGTTCTATAGTTTGGCCCAACTTCCCAAGTCACATTTTCTGTAGCTGTTTAGTGGTAGTTAATATTATTTGGACCAATATGACATACTTCTGCCCTATGTGTTCTGAAAATTGTCCATGTTAACACTTACCAAAATGAAACCATGGTGACAAATTGCTGAGAGCATCTTTAGTGGGATCATTTCTTTTAGTTGCAAATACTTTGAGTCTCTGGTCAAGGAAACTCTTCAACATTTTGAGGGCATTGTCATACCCTGGCCGGGCCCAGTCCACTGGGCCTACATTCTTGTCTGCTTCTCTGGAAACTATGGCCTCATCCCAGTCTATGGGCTGAAAATATGAAAGAATTTGTTGTGAATCAAAGATCCCTCTTAATCAACTGTATTTTTTTCATAAATAGGTAGATTACTATCATTATCATTATATCACAGTTCATCTGTATTGTGTCTCATCTGTTTTTGCATGAGGCTAAGGTTAGAAGAATACCTATTATCATGGAGAGGCAATTCGGGGCTGCCTTCATTTGTTGTCTGGTTTTGCACCAGACTTGAAGTGAGTGAAGCTATTTAGTTAATGAATGAGAACTTATGAGTTCATCCAATAATTATATTTTGTATTATAATATATAAAAACTCAAACATACCTCTGGTTCAAACTTAGCAGTGTATGGATGTTTGATAATAGGTGGGAACTCGGTTAAGTATTCACCAAGTTTGGAATTGATTTTATTTCTTATTGTTCTTGCTGAGTACTCTTGTTTGTCTGATGCTACCCAGCAGGGAACTATGTTGTGGGCATCCACCTGAAAATTATAATTATAATGTAAATTATCCATAAATGGTAAGGTAAAAACCATTTAGTTCATTCTTTTTAAATAATGTTTATGAGTGGAATTAGTGGAGAATCTTGAATTACAATTAAGTAGATCAACATTTTGGAACATATTGCCAATTCTTTTATTTATTTATTTTATTTGTATAAAAATAATGTGAAATATTACCTGAATGAGAGGAACATCTTTCTTGAGCTTCTTTTTTACACCCTCCAGCCAGCCTAAAGGAACCCGCAATGGATTGAAATCACAAACCACAGCCCCAATATTGTGTTTCACCACCCATTGAGGCAATACTTCATCTCCACTGCCCTCTAGTAAGTGAAATGATATGTTCAGCTTCTTACAGTCAGCTGCTACCTTTTCTAAACCTGAAAATACGTTCACCTTCAAGTTAGTATGGGTACTAAAATGCCATAGATTACAATAACAAGTTACATTTAAACTTTTTTTAGTACATAATTATTTCAAGATATCTACCTTTTATAAGAAAATCAAACTGCCTGACAGAGGCGTCTAAGTACTTGGCTATCAAACAAAAACACACGTGTAGCGGTACTTCGTTTTTGAGCGCCAGTTTTTGTGCAAACAGGAAAGCCCAGTTATCTTGGACTCGACTGTCTCGGGACATCCAATACACCACCCCTTCACAGTTATCAGGCACCATCTGCTCCTGAGATACGATTCGAACACGCTTTTTATTGAATTTATACTCCAAAATAGACGCAGCAGTCTCTTCGCGCTTTGCCTGCAATTTCTTCATAAATTCTTCGATGTCGTTCGATTTTGTGGGAATTCCATTGCTCTGTGATGTAGCAGCTGTTGAAAGCTTTGGTTTTTTTGCAGCAGATGCCATTTTAATCACACTAGTTAACGATTTACAAAGATACCTCTTGATAATAAATTTATAAACTGACAAACGCGCCATAACAAAGCAATACGAGACGAATTTACAGATAAAAAAAAGTACTGACGTTTGTTTGACTGAAGTTTCATCTTTGATGTGTCATGTCATCTTAAAGCTTAATTAAATACCAACTCTTTGTTTCGCGTAATATTTTAATAATGTTCACGTTTGTATTGTTATCAAATCCGAAAAAACAATAACCAAAATACGCGTCTAAATTATTCATTACAGTTGTATAAATATGAATCATTTTTTTATAGTTGAGTTTTGTTTATTCGGTTCTTCGGAAGTTTCCGTTATTGTGGATTCTGGAGTGGGGAAGAATTTATTTTTCAGAACACTACTGCATGGATGGCAATTAATCCTTTCGATGTTTCGTTTAATGCAATCCAAAGAACAGAAACCAATCAGATTACACGATCCGCAGTTGATTTTTGAATCTTGAAATGGTGTCGCACATTCGAAGCAAACGTTGAATTTCTCTATCTGGAAGTATGAATAGGTATTGTAAAATATATCATTACAGATTTATTAATTGTTTTTAATAAAGAAAATCGGCCTACTTACCCCCTTTACAGTTAGTTCTGGTGCCACATATGGTCGTACGGCTGGAACCATGTCCGGAGTTGAAATTGTAGCCATTTTATGTTCATGAATAAGACTAGCTACTTCACGTTCTATTATTTCTTTATCTTGGAACGTCAAAGGAATTTGTATAATTTTCCTCATCTTTTTATAATAAAAATGAATAATACATAGGACTTGTTTTTGGATTTTTTTATCATTGTATACTTTTTTCTTTGTTGTTTTTAGAACGTCCCAAATTTCAAGACAGCGGGCAGCAGTTAGCCAAAGGCCTGTGCACTTTTTGTTTTTATGTTCCTTCATTATCATGTTCCACGACCGATGGCGATACCTTAGCAATGAAATTCAGCATTATAGTCTCTATTTGTAAAATTAAATACTGCTTTTGACTGGGGCAATAAGGAAAATGATTTGTAAGTACTACTTGGATATAGGTAGGGTGATAATAATTTTTCTCTAAGGATACCTACACAAATACCTACTCAGTAGTGAAGTAGATATACTTGACTACTGAGTATGTGGCATTTGAACTCTACATATCTTACGGGTAAGATATGTAGAGCTCTACCTTAAGTTAATCCACCCAGAAGTCTACAATCTCACATATTTCTTAACTTTAACTTGAAGCTACATTACAAAATGGTTTTCAATTTATTATAGGATGGAAATAAAGCATAATCAACAAGACTTACTCGTAAACAATATCAATTAGCTCCTTCAAGAGCTTGGCTTGCAACCATCGGATGTGCAGTAATCTGGCGCAGTCTACCACCAGTTCCAAGGCTTGCTTATAATCTCCTTGATTGTCGTCAGTGGCTTTTGTTAAACCATGTTTTGAAGAAACGTCCTTTTTGGGTCTCGCATCGCTCTTAGATTTCTTTGCTCCTATAAAGGTAATAAGATAAAGTGTACAATTTTTAATTGCTGCTACTATCGGACAATATGTAGGTACCTATTTTTGCGTTATAACTATCTTTGAGTGCGTGGTCACTGATCTGATCACCAATAAAATTTATTGGAACCATTCACTCCCATTGGCTCCACATGCTTTACAATCGGCATCATTGGTATACATGTTATTATGTTTAGATTTTTCATTATTCAGATATTCCCATTCTAATAAAAAATACTAACCACATTCCACAGCAGATTTTTTAAAATAAGTTGTTTTACCTGATTGGTTAATCGGTTTCCGAGTAGCTTCTATATCATTTATAATCTTTCTTGCAAAAACAAACAGATTCCCATATTCTTCCTTCCCATTTTGGCATTTCAGTAACGGATCTGCACCAAACAGCAGAAGATTTGTCAACTGAAAGTGGGTTGAAGATTGATTATTATTTCGCTTCTGTTATCCCAGCGTCTTGTGTTAATGGGTACTAACATTTTTAGGGTTACAATGCTCTTTAATAAAGATTGTGTTATTTCTTAACGAATTCTGGCGTTAACACTAATGGGTACTAACATTTTTAGGGTTACAATGCTCTTTAATAAAGATTGTGTTATTTCTTAACGAATTCTGGCGTTAACACCATACATACCATCTGCAGTCGTTCCGTTAAAGGGATATTCTTACAGAAGGGCAAATAAAACATCTTCACTAGTATGGTCTGATTTAAATTATTGATGACAGCATTTAAGTCGGTTCGGGGGCTTTTTACGAATATATCAAACAGATCCAGAGATTTATTCATGGCCAGGTCCACAGCCGAGACGCCATTGAATTGGGTTATTGGATTACATCCATATTCGAGGAGCAATCCAAGAATTTGGTCACGTACCTGTAATTCAACGATTATTGTTAGGTACATAGAACAAATGAAGGGGCGAATCTTATAACCATCCAGATGAATATTTAGTTCATGAATAACACTCAACCTTGGTAGCTTTTAAAATCATCGTCACCACCTAGCATACTAAGTAGACCATACTTGAGACTTTTACTACAATGAGGGGGTTAGTTCAGTATTTTAAGAGCGTATTTTTTCTTGGATGGCCTATTTAGATTTGTAGGGACAAAATATTGGGACAGATTTTCACCATTAGCCTACAAGTGCCCACTGCTGAGCAAAGGCCTCTTCTCACACGGAGAAGGTTTGAGCATTAATCACCACGCTTGCTCAATGCGGGTTGGCGATTTCAAACTTATAATTAGAAATTATAAGTCCAGGTTTCCTCACCATATTTACCTTCACCGTATGTCAGTGTCAGTGGTGTATAAATAATCATAGAAACTACATATAAATCGGAAAAAGTCACACTGGTACTTTTCAGGTTTCGAACCCACACCCTCTTGCATGAGAAGCGGGCTCCTTAACCTCCGGGCTATCACGACATGGTACAGATTTTAAGTAGTCAAAATTCTCTTATGTTGTAACGATACGGAGCTAAACTATAGCCGTTATGCAAAAACCAAAACTTAACTAATAAAAAGTACTTACTTCAAGCAGATGCCTATTTTCAAGTTCGTCATTTTCTATCTTCTTTGAAAGTACTGCGTGCAATAAAGTAGGACCTTCAACGTCTATTTTCGGTGTAGCATTGGGAGATTGTGGTGGTTCTGGAATCTTTAGGCGGTGATCTGGACTGGCTCCACACTCCAGTAACGCACGAATCACCCCCAAATTTTCGTTACTGACTGGTGCGCTCACTGCTATGTCCAATGCCGAATATTCATGTGCCTGAAGAAATGGGATCTTATTAGGTTCTTTATAAGTTTGCTTGAGTTTTGCTTATCAGTATTAATTCACTCCCGTTTCTTGATTAGGAGCCTCTCGTTTATCTTTAAAAAAAGGCAGTCGTTTAATTATGAACTTTGTAATTCAATTCAGTCGTTTAATTCTGTCACTTACCTGTACTTATCCTATTTAGTTGAATTTACCTTTCACAGCCACCATAGATACTCGTGATTGTACTTTAGCCAAAATTGCTTTGGAGCAAAACAATCAAAAACTTCTTCAAAAATAATATTTTTTCTGAATAACAGTAAATGTGTTATGCAGTAATAATTACTTGTGGATAAATTTCATTAACATCAGCACCATATTTCACTAAAACTCGTATAAGGTCTGGACAGCCAGCCACGACAGCCATAAAGAGTGGCGGTTGAGGACACCGAATGAGACGAGGGTCCGCACCATCAGCTAATAATAGAGTAATTGTCGCCATGATCCGTGATATCCTGAAAGCCACAGAAAATATACATTTGATATACACGTTTACTACATAATGTATAGGCTTCATGAACACTAAAAATGAAATAAATATAAAAATTTACTATTGATTAAAAAAGAAAAGAAAAATGTCTGTCAAAATACAAGTCAAGTACATGAGACGTACAGTCAAGGTACATGAGACGTTGTTTATTATTAAATTGGCACTATTAAGTTAACCTATCTAAAAAGGAATAACAATTTGCACTCACTTTTCTCGATTTTTTTGTTCTGTTGCATCTATAGCGTCATCCTGATCTTGCCACATCATGTCTCTACTAGGTTTCATTGATTGTTTTGTATTCTTTGATTGGGATTTTTTCATTAGTTTCTCAACAACCTTCTTCTGTTCGTCCCCAATGCTTACTTCGACATCTTTGCACATGTTGTAAACTTCAAATATGTACGGTACTGGGTTCACTTCACAACGAACTGAGTAAACTTCTGCGACTTTTATCATATATTCAAGATTAAGGCTATCATACATGCGCTTATCTTCAGCAGTATCAGCAATCGAATCTAGACTATTTTTTTCAGCCTTTTTTTTCTCTACCGGCTGTTGGATGCTCGTTGAGTATTTATTGCCCGGCGATGATTTCGTATTTACATCGCTTCGTTCCGTTGTTTGTTGCGAGTCTCTTGATATATTCCATTCTTGTATACTTTCATCCGGTGGAGCTGAAAGATGAACATCTTATTGTTTTTTTTTTCATTCACTCGCTCTTTGGAAGATGTAGTCAACGAGCCAGCTAAAATTTGCGATGTAGAGGCTCGTTAGATATTTTTAAATGAAAACGAAAAATGTTTAGGAATTAATAATAAAAAAATGTACTTAAACATAATCAAATGACCCATTAAATACTAACGTGGTACTAATGCAGGTGGAGGTAAAATGGCTTGCAACATAGCACTGTACGGTATATTCTTCTTCTCCAACGCATACCTCAAAATGGTGATCCCAAGTGGAGTGCAACATGCATCGTTGAATGAGTCAATATCAGGTCCCGCTTCCACAAGGAAATGTATTATTTCTGGTTGATCCCCACACTGCAGGGACATGAATAAAGAAACTAGTAGAATAATAGAATGAAAAGACTGAGGGTTTTGTAAGGGAAAGTCTCTTATATTTATATGATGGGGATATGAATTACTTACATTTAGGTGATGATAATATTGATGGTGGTATGGAATTCAACACAATTTTTTGCTTTCACCAACTATTAATGTCTCAAAGCATGTTAGAGGTGAACAAGAAACTTACTGCTGCATACATAATAGCAGAATTCCCTTGATTATCAGTGATGTCAGGCATGACGTCAAACTCGTTTACAAGCTGAGCTACATTTGAGATGTGTCCTAAATAACTTGCCATTAGTAACGATCTAAAAAAGGGGCGAAAATAATTAGTACATTAAAAAAAACATGTTTTGACCAAATCTAGACCATTACAAAGCTTAGCTTGATGCCGTATGACAATTTGGCGACAGCTGAACAAACGCGAGGTCGCGTTTGACCCTATTAGTCATACCTACTAAGGATAGTAGGAATGAATATAACAAGTTTCTAAGTCGGTGCGGATGGGGGGATGGATAGATGGATTTTACGTTAAAACTACTGAACCAATCTGAATGAAAGTTGGCACAGAGATAAGTAGGTTATGGTCTGGAATAACCCTACTGCAATTTTTTACTTTTGTACTGCGGGTGAAACCACTGGCAGAAGTTAGTTTTCATGCGTCGCTATCTTCCCAGTCAGATTTCTGCTTTGTTATATTTTTTTATGGAATATGTCGGCAAACGAGCAGACGGATTACCTGATGGTAAGTAATCAGCGCCGCTCATGGACACCCGCAACGGAGGAGTAACGAGTGCGTTGCCGACCTTTTAGGGATTAGGAGGGATCGGGGGAGGGGAAGGATTGGGCCTCCGGTAACCTCACTCACACGGCGAAACACAACGCTGTGGTTGTTTCACGTCGGTATTCTGTGAGGCCGTGGTATCACTCCGGTTGAGCCGACCCATTCGTGCCGAAGCTTGGCTCTCCAACACACAAAAAATTAAATACATTATAATTCTAACGGAATCTTTGGATGGATATTTAGTGCTACACTTAACTGAAACTATTTATTTGAGCGTCAATTTTATTGTGGGATTGACGGATCGCACGACGCGCGTGAGCGAGGCTCAAATCGGAAAAATCGTCAAATGTTTTCTCTCGCCTAGGGTAGGGAAAAAAGGAGTATCAGACTCTTACTGACTAAAAACCCCCGCTCCCCTTCTCTTGCTCTAGGCAATTATAACTCACCTACAATCCAGTTCATATTTGCCCGGTGGCTTAAAAGCGGTTCTCGGTCCAGACAAAATATGCTTCATGTTAAGTCGAGATTGATTCCACTGATCTTCGTGGGTAAAGCAGTGCTTCATCATGTGCATGACAACTTTGCTATTGTTCCATGCGTAGTAAGTCTTGGTTTCCGCAACGCTTTCTTTACTGCTTTGACTGGTATTAATTTCCTGGATCAGAAAACAAAAAAAAAAAACTACTTATTCTATTTTTTTGTCTATCTAATATGGTACTTATATTTGTTATTTGTAAGGGACTTTTTTGTTATTTTTGTATGTATTTTTGTTTTTAATTTTAAGCCTTTTAAGAATAGAATATTGTTTTGATTCACCTAGATCGATGTATAACTTCCCATGTTCTGACGCTTGAAACCGAGACCACATTCTGTTTAATATAGATTTAGGAGGTCGCATAACTTTTACGAACCTAGGTATTTTCTACGGGGCTTACCTGTGGTACAGTGGTAACTTCAGTAAGTAAACGGACTTCGTTATTATTAAAGTATGCACGGTCAAAAACGGCGACATGACACAACTGACTGTATGTGTCTGTGCAGTTCTTCGGATACAACTTGGTCCATTTGTCCGCTGCAGTCAAAGGATTTGCCCCGTACTGCTTCAGCAAATCTAACGCCGAGTTCACTTCACCAATCTATAAAAAGTTCTACTTATATTGAGTTTGTTAGAAAGATAATACCTATGTGCGTAATTCACATCCAGACAGATCACATCTAAACATATTTATAATTTTTTTAACATGACAATGAACTAAACTAATTCTATATTGGACATTAAACCGTATTGTAGTGAAAATGAACTACTGAGAAAGTTACTATTCATTGTTTAAACGGTACTAACAATTTTGGTGGTCGAAGTCATGAGTTTTCGATGTGGAACTACCATGTTAAGCCCCACAGGATTGGACATGATATCGATGGCCACACTAGGCATATTTGGCCGCCACGCGAGCCTGATCAACTGGTACCCATGCCAAAGGCCCACGTCTTCACGAAGTTGTGCGTGGGTCTCAACTCCAGGACCCCAGCGAATGCTCTTACGCCATAAACCCTGATGAATTGGAGCAGAATTACAAGTAAGTCATAAAAATATTTAAAGGACTTGAGTCTCGATTTTACATTTCGCCCACCTAGGCTGTATCGTGAATCGATTCTAATAAAACTTTGAACTCAATTCTATCTAATATACTTCAGTAGTTTATGAATGCTCTGTATACCTATTAATGTATTTGATTTTTAAATGGAAATTAATAAAAAAAAATATATGACAATTAATTTTCAAAATTAAGTTTAGAAAGACAGAGCGAGTCTATATTTCAATACCTAAAATCCTAAAATCACTTATAACTGGCATTTTTTTGCGATATACTCTTATGCTTATGAGTAACTAAATTTCATTAAAATCGATTCAGTTGTTGTTAACATGATACCTATTGAACTTGATTTGTAGATTTAAAAATCGTGTTCGGCTTATCAGTCAGTTCCATACGGCCTTTGTTTAGGTAAGTGGGTATATCAAGTCAACCCTTCACGAGATGAGGTAGATATTATTTCGAGATAATAATTGATGAAGGTCGTGGTAGCCCGGAGTCGCCTGCTTCTTATGCACGAGGTGGCGTATTCCTACCAAATACCAATGTGATTTTTCCGAGTTCTATGTCCTATTTAACACAATTAGGCAGCACTGACATACGGTGAAGGAAAACATTGAACCTATATTATTTAATTATAAATTTGAAATCACCAATCCATGTTGAGCAAGCGTGGGGATTAATGTTTAAACCTTCTCCGTGTGAGAAGAGGTCTTTGCTCAGCAATGGACACTTATAGGCTGATGATGATCATGACAATGAATAATTAATTGAGATACTAACGCTGAACACCCGTCCGTCAGGGTAGGACATCAATCCGTAGCCGTGCATTCGGTTATTGTAGAACCTGCCTTCGTAAGTGGTGGCTGCATGCTCTGCACCCTCGTACCTCCAGCGGTACTCCCCTTCACCATGAATCGTGTCACGGACTATACTCCCTGTGTACGAGTCTTGAAACTGTTTTATGCAATGTAGACGAAAATAAATTTATAATTATAGTGTTTTAGGATATTATTGTAATTGCGACATCGGTTAATTGTTATCCTATTTTCTGGAGGAATGTGATTATAGAATCTAATGATCAGAAAAGCAAATTAAATTGTGGCATGACCAATAATTAATAATTTTGATTTTTAAGAGGAATGGATATTCATATGCTTCCTGTTTGGATGCTGGAATTGTCTTTGGTCTTAAATGTATGATCACGTCTCCGATTTCCGTAAAAAGCTCCAGTGACTCAACCTAAAGACCACGCGTACACAAACTTCAGTACGAAAACAAAATCGCTAAAAGGCTTCGGGTTGCCGGGAGAGGTTGTCTAGTTTTCATTGGCTCGTTTAAGGACACGTCAAAATTGACAACGTTGTTGTTTCGCTTTGATTCTCGGCGGCGGAATGAGAAACAGAAAGGGGCAGGACTGGCTCTTATGCAGTATCACTGCCTAATCTTGGCGATTGCATATGCCTGGCAAAGCGTGGTCTTTAGGTTGAGTCGTCTGTGAATCCAGCTTATCCTGTTTACCTTTGTGACCGTTTCTCCTTGGTCCGTCCTAGTGGTTATTTATAACGTCATTGGTCCTACTAAAACCCTTTCTCTATCACATCTAAAATCCAACCAGCTAGATATCGCCATCGTTGTACTCTTCTTATCTTTATAATATGTTGTGTAACTGTAAACCACTTCCTCTTTTTTAGTCAAAAAGAAATGTCAGACGCTTCCTGACTAAACACCCCCGTTCCTTCTTCTGCTCTAGGCCGAGGCTGCGGTGCCTTATTACGCTTACCCTATAAGCCCAGCTAAACATCAGCCCTATAGGGCCCCGTCTGTGAAACTAGTTACTTGACGTACAATTACGTTTTGTATCTATCTATCTACACTAATATAACCTCAGCTGATGACCAGTACACGCTTCCATATCCATTCTTCCTGTTCTCCTCATCTCTTTCTCCAAGGTAGTATTCATCATAGGGCCACCTTTTGGTCGCATTTGTCTTCGGTGGATTGCAAGGCATTGTGAAGACAATTTATATTAACGTACGTATATAAAAATTTAATAGTGATAATATGTTTTAAAAATAAATAAACGCAGGTAAATAATTTCGAAAATTAACTGTTATTAGGTACTAAAATAATAATATTATCACGACAAGTTTGACAGTTTGTGTTAAACCTATACTCGGACTTTTAATTCCATTCCAGATTTGACAATTTCAGTGTTGCAACGTTATGACACGTATTAAATAGTGACGTTGCGAAATTATTCGATTTGGATATCGAATATTTCTGAATCGATTCCTCTCGTCTTTAAATTTATTCTCGTAAACTAAGTTTATTAGGAAATAAAATATTTCTGAACCGATAATTTAGTTTTGACAATTAATTAACGATCTGAGACTTTTCTTTTGTAATTGTGTGTGGAATTAATAAAAAATGTGATCATGAAGGAACGTGACTAATAAAACAGACATTTTATAAATTGTCGCCGTCATCGCTATCGCTATCGCTGTTATTTTCTGTAAAATTTATTATGAATTGTGTCTGTGATTTTTATTGTCAATTAACATATCTAGCTTACTCTTTTTTTCCTCTTTTTTGAAAACATGGGATACACATTTAGACCATTCGGTAGCCGTAATTTTTTGAATGCCTTCCTGAACCTGATTCACTGATTGTTTATCGATTTTTGTGTTCATCACTACACTGTTATATGTGGTATCATTATTTCACAAAATGACAGTGGTCAATGTCAAATCAGGAATCGAATTAAAAGTCTGACTTATAATTTATTTATCTGTGTGTAAAACTTTTGTCAAAGTGGATAGTGTGTAGATAATAAAATGAAGTAAGCAAAAAGGTTTTATACTTTTGGCGGGAACTCTTTTATTTCCTTTTACTATTTTATGCAACTACTCTGTGTTCATTGGATTGGATTTGCCTTACAGAAATGATATTATAATTAAAAAAGGTGTAGATAGGTTACAAGCGCTCAGAAAGTGATACATTAAAATGTGGCTAACTAGCCACACTTTTTCATATTTGTCTCTTTTTCACTCGCGATATTGAATCATGCACTTTAACGTGTATCATACGATTTATTCATGTGCGCATATGTGTGCCGTTTTTGAAAATTGAATGTATTTTATGTACCCTAAACCTATCTTTACAATTTTAGGTACTTATAATATCATTGCCTTACAGGTTCTTTTTATTATACATTGTTACTTGCTTTAACAGCATTTGCTGTCGAAATTTAACATCTTTTATATGCCTTTAGAAATAAAGAGTATTATTCTTAAATAAAAAGCGCAGCGACTTAAATAGTAATTTTAATAAAAAAATAAACATTATCTATTTACATTTTACTTACAAAAACTTATATTAAAATTATAATAGTATTTTATTTTGATTAAAAATTAACAGTAGATATGTAGTCAGTGTCCCATTTTTAAGTAAAATTGCTATAAATATGTACCTATTTATGCTATGAATATCAAAAATACGTTGTATAAAAATCTTAGGTATTTGTATTTAACAGCAATTAAACCTGCAGCAACTGTTTTTAGACCTTTCGAAGTAAGTGTATTCCTGAAACAATAAAATATTTGTATTATTCGGCAGTCAAAAGACGAAGATTTGAATTAATATTATTATAATTTTAATTTTGAAATTATTTGACCTTTTTTGTTCCAGATCGGTACATACTTGTGTGTTATTGCGAATAGTATGTGATAAAATTATGGTTGATTAGGTTTATCTGTGTATTATCCCAACTACAATATTATAAATGCGAAAGTAACTCTGTCTGTCTGTCTGTCTTTTCTTCACGCCTAAACTACTGAACTGATTTGTGTAAAATTTGGTACAGACATAGTTTGGAACTCGAGAAAGGACATAGTATAGTTTTTAAACCAAAAACCTACAGGAAGTCACAATTCCACGCGAACAAAGTCGCGGGGGAAAGCTAGTAAAGCAATATTTTAAAGCAAAATAATTAGTTTGTTTGTTATAAGGCGTTTATTTCTGGAACTACTGGGTAGAGGGTTTGTTGTCACGGAACAACTTGTTTTTCTTCTTTTTTTTTAATAAAACGTTGCCCCATGCTAGGATTTTCTCGTGTGTCGTGGGTGCGGTTACAAACATACAATTTCACATGCACATGTCACCCAGACCCAACTATACATTATTTTGAATATAGAATGTTATTCGTAAGTATGTAAGTTTAGCGGGATATTAAATATATAGGTGTTGAATATTATTACTTCTCAAATCTCAAACTAATGAAGGAACTTACCAGAAGAAAGGCAGCAGCCAGCAGCAAGGCTTTGTGTTTCGGCTGCACGGCTGCGTCAGGTACTTGGAGTGTAGTGGTGAAACTGTTCAGGTCTCTGTCCCACCCGTGGGCTATTCTGCCCACTTGGCGGAGGCAATCACTTGTCATTATCTGGGAAATAAGAGGATCAGATTTATTATAGGAATCCCACGGGTGCTAAACCTGGTAAATACCAATGTGACTTTATCCGCATTATGTGCACTTTCTATGTTTTCTCAGACAAATAGACTAATAATTTCTAATTATAAGTAAATCGCCAACATGCCTCGATCAAGCGAGTCGATTAATTCTCAAACCTTCTTTGTTTGAGAAGTGGCCTTTGCTCAGCAGTGGACATTTATGTTCCCCACAGTTCTTCCATTTTTCCGATTATACTTTCCTTTGACGTACCGAAAACCGGTATATGTGTTTAATTCCATCCAATTCCGTAACCCAAGCCCGCATCGTCAGGAACGTGACGTCAGGCACGTAACAATATCTTCTAAATTGGGTATTTCTACGTAATGTTTAGTATTCTTAAACATTTATTTAGGTTTGAGGGATTGGTATACCGTACCTTGAATTCTGAAAGGATGAGAGCACTTCTCAGCAAGACATCTGGACCTTCGATGGCGAACAGCACTTGTTCGTTGGCGTCCTTAACTTTGAAGAAGGGCACCATCCACGTACATTGCTGTTGGACGCGACCCACGTAGTCTCCGGGTGGTGTTATCACTTTTATCTCCTGGGGAATGGGGATCGAAGGATAGACCAAATTAGAAACTTTTTTGAGTTTTTTTTGAGCCATGCTTCGGCTCGAATAGATTGGTTCGGCGCGAGTGATACCACGGCCCCACATAATACCGGCGTGAAAAAACAACATCGTTGCGTTTTGCTGTGTGAGTTAGGTTACCGGAGACCCAACTTTACCCAATCTCTCCGCAAACTCTGAATCTCGAAAACGGATGTCCATGGGCGGTGCCGATTGCTTACAATAGTCTCCGTTTCGACAAAAAAATAAAACAAAACAAAAGAAGATAGCCTAAAGTTTAGACATAGCATTATGACTTACTTCTCTTAGGTATTATAGTTAGGGATGACAAAGTATAACAAAAAAGATAGATCTTGATACAATATAAAAAAATCTAATGAAAGCCAAGGAATTTTGTGTAAACAATGAAGCAAGATAATATATGCATAGGTGCTATTGTCTGGATGCATGTGAGATTACAGCAGATAAAACAAGATTGGGTAGATATTTACATATGAAATATTTTCCTTCTGTATTCGATACGGGAATAAACACAATAATGTCATAATCATTACAGTGATCAAAGTATTTAGGTATATTTAAAAAGTCCACTTCTTATAATTGTACGATTAATAGTCTACTACTCATTTTCAAAGTCCGTCTACATGTAAATAATAGCCTTTAGGTATGTGTATACATTAAGCGAAATATAGGTATAGTTATAATATACTTGAGCATCATAAAGTGTGTACATTTATGAAGTATTACAATTATGCAGTAAATATTATGATTGTCTTTTATAGGAATATGAGAAATATAGCCATATTCAGTATCAGTAATAACTATTTTCGGTAATTATTCTCTCTTTTTATTTTTATAAGGGCCTGTACCAAAATTTCTGCAATATAATTTCTAACACAAGTATGTAATGTAATTTGTTTGTCACATAACTCTATTTCAGTTCTGTCACGGCACTCGTGTGAACCACTCGCGTGCAGATTAACGTAGTTAAATTAATCTTTTATTTACGCATCGGCGATGAACGCGAGCTAATAATGGCTACAGGGTACAGTGACAGTACCAGTGACCAAGAAGACATCAATCCGGATCAAGGAGATAGATGGATGTCACACATTTTAATGGAAGAGGAAGGAGGAGATAAAATCGATTTGATAGAAAGTTCTGCAGAACCTACTAGTAACGAAGTACATGTTATGGAAGAAGACATAATAAGTAAACCAATGAAACGAGATAGAGAAGAAGATGATGAAGGAAGTTGGACTAAAGTAGAAAGAGACAAAGGGAAAAAACATAAACAATTTAAAAAAGAAGTCTTTATATGGAGTAAAGAAAAGCTACCTAAACAATTTGCCATAGCAAAATTATTTAACAGTATAGGTTTAACTGAGATAAATAATGTTAAGTACATAAACTCATATAAATTAAAAATTGAAGTTTCGACTGAGGAATGTGTAAACAAGTTATTAGACTGTCAAGCGTTTCAAAACAAAGGCTGGAAAGTGTACAGCGCCACGGATGTCAATACCTCATATGGTGTTATACGGAACGTGGACCTGGATTTAGAAGAAGAAGAAATACTAACTGCGATTAAGTGTCCTAGTAATATTCAAATAATATCTGTGAAAAGGTTGCAGAGGCGTCATGAAAGCGGCTGGGAACCGAGTGAGGTAGTAAGGATCGGCTTCAGTGGCTCACACTTACCAAATTTTATTTATGTAGATTGGTTACGCACCAAGGTAGATCCTTTTGTTTTTCCGGTAACTCAGTGCTCAAAATGCTGGAAGTTTGGTCACGTCAAAACAAGATGTCCATCTAATAAAATTGTGTGTCCTAAGTGTACAGAACAGCACGATAATTGTGAAGTTACCACATTCAAATGTGTGAATTGTCGAGGTGACCACATGGCATTGAACAGGAATTGTCCGGTTTATACTCGAGAGAAGCGAGTTAGAGAACTCATGGCAGAATATAACTGTTCCTATTACGTAGCATGTAACATGTACGTTAAACCTCAACTACCACTTGATTCTCAAACAGTAAGACAAAATGAAAAACCGAAGATAGATTCCAACAACAGCTTTAATGGTTTAATTATTGAAGAATCAGGTAGTAGTTATAAGTATACAACAGATCAATTCCCACCGTTGTTTAAGCCAAAGCGAGCTAGCTCACCGCAAGTAAGTAAACAAAAGAAATCACATTTATATAATTAAAATGAATCTGCATGGTACGGACATCGGGAGTCGTCGGACGACATTCCTAAGCATCCAACTACTACTGATAAGGATGCCAGCGATAATGTAAACAATACGCGGCAGGTACATTTTGATGAGTTAATAAATCGATTGAAGGATATTATCTTTATGCGAAACTATAGCATTAACGAAAAGTTTTATGAGATTATTAAGTGTTGTAGTAAATGGCTAGTGTTAGTTTTTGTAGATCGTATATCTGAGTGGCCTATTGTAAATAAGTGTTTGGAGTTATTCCTTGGTCTAAATAAATAATGGATCCTAAATATAAAATTGTTCAGTTAAAGTTACTGCAGTGGAATGCAAGAAGCCTGAGACCTAAACTTAAAGCTTTTGAAAATTTTCTTTTGACCAGTAAAATTCATATTTGCATTATAACTGAGACTTGGCTCGAACCTGAGAGTCATCTGAAAATTAATAATTATAACATTTATAGACAGGATCGTGATGATTCATTCGGCGGCGCCGCTATTGTGGTACATAACACCGTTAAAACTCAGATCAACAGCTTTACCTTACGTAATCGAAATATTCAAGTACTCCATATTAAGATATTTAATTGTAGTTTTATAGAAAATGTTGTAGCTGTTTATTGTCCACCTAATATTCAAACTTTAGACGAGGATTGGAAAAGTTTATTCTCTGGTTGGTCTAATAAAACCTTAATAGGGGGAGATTTTAATGGGCATCACACCAACTGGTCATATAAAGTTGATTCTAGGGGTTCACAAATCCACGATGCAGCTGATGAACGGCATTATGTTTCCCTTAACACTGGAGACCATACCAGACTCAAGCTAGTTTTAAATCAGGTTCAAAAAAGTTCACCAGACATCACTTTTGTTTCATCAGACATAGCTTTACAGTTTAAGTGGACTGTTCTAAATGAAAATCTGGGCAGTGACCACTTAATGATCCTTATCACTACTGAAATAACATGCAATAACCTCACAAAGTTAAAACGCAATTTTAAAAAAGCAGATTGGAAAATGTATTCGGATATTATTTCAAATAAAATAAATAGTTTTAGATTAACCGGCAACTATCAACAAATTTATAATGACCTTGTAGAATTAATTAATTACGCGGCTCAATCAGCGATTCCCGAAATTAAAATTCCTAAAGACCCCACTAGTAAATTTATACCTAGATCATATTGGTCCCCCGCATTATCGAAAGCGGTCGCAGAACGTAGATTGGCATTGACACAGGTTAGGAAGAACCCTACGCCATTAAATTTCATGGTTCTTAAACAAAAGGTTGCTACGGCACAGAGGCTAATTCGTATAGCAAGTGCAGAGTCCTATCGACAGTTCTGTGACAGTATCGGAGAGACGACATCTAGCAGTGAGTTATGGAGCAGAATGAGATGGCTTAAAGGATACCGTACTAATAAAATGTGTTTAGATGAAGAGAAAGCTACCACATTCTTAAGACAATTGACTCCAGATTACGTAAGCCCACAATGTCCTGTTTTTAGGTCAATTAACCCACAGTTAGAAGGAGAAATCACAACGCATGAACTGATGAATGTGTTGAAGACAAAGGATACAGCACCAGGGGAAGATGATATATCCTATTCGATGATTTATAACTTCCCTGACAAACAGCTTATAATCCAGTTATTTAATAAATGTTTGAACGAAGGTGGGGTCCCAACTCAGTGGAGAAATATTAAAGTAGTACCTATACCAAAACCTGGACGCGATCCGTGTAACATAACCTCACTGAGACCTATCTCGCTCATATCTTGCATATGTAAATCATTTCATAACATTTTAACAAGACGTCTCGAATGGTTTTATGAAAGTAATAATCTTTTTTCCGATAACACTATAGGATTTAGAAGATCTAAGTCATGTCTGGATAATTTAGTTCGCCTAGTTTCGCAGATTCAAATAGGTTATACCAATAATCAAGTGACATTGGGATGTTTTGTAGATATAAATAATGCCTATAATAATGTCGATATCATAAGAGTAGTATATAAACTGGATGAAATGGGGGTCGGGGCTGCAATATGCAGGTATATATGGGAGTACTTAAGGGAAAGGCATCTATCTGTATCAGAAGTGGGGAGTAATATTTCGATTACAAGATGGGCATGCATGGGATTAGCGCAAGGAGACCCTATGTCGCCAATTCTATTTAATATAGTGACAAGTGACATTTGCAAAAAGATAATGAATGTTTATGTATCACAATATGCGGATGATTTCGTTCTCTATATTTCTGGTCAAAATCTTGCATTTATGACCGCTACCCTTCAGGAAGCATTAAATATTTTAGTAAATTTGTTAGAGGAATTGGGTTTGGAATTATCTCCCTCAAAAAGCAAGATTTGTTTATTTTCTAGGAGAAAGTCATTACAATTAGTAGAAGTCAAAATCAACAATATTAACTTGGAAAACGTTTCAACCGTTAAATATTTGGGTTTATGGTTAGATTCATCCTTAAAATGGCGCAAACACATTAATGAAATTTATGAAAAGAGCATGAAATTCTTAAATGTTTTTAAGGTTCTAGCAGGTTCGTCTTGGGGAGTCCATCCATTACATCTAAGACGACTGTATATTGCATTAATTCGAAGCCGATTAGATTATGCCAGCTTTCTTTTCGATAATAGTGCCAAGACTAATATTTCAAGGTTAGATAAAATTCAAAATCAAGCCATGAGAGTAGTTGGCGGTTTTTTGAAGAGTTCCCCAATTCACACGATGGAATCGGAGTTATGTTTGCCACCACTGTTTGTTCGACGAAAATATTTAGCTACTAAATTTTATTTGAAATCTAAGTCCGTTGCTAATGGCGAAACTATTACGACGATATTAAAATTAACATTGCTATGTGAGCAGAAATTGTATTGGCGGAATAAGAAAAAACCGTTGTTAACTATAGTGAACAGTGAGTTATCTAATCAATCTTTACATAGTTCCAAAGTCCTAGAAATGTTCTCACTGCCAACATGGATGGCGAATATAGATATCAAGTCACACATAAATCTAAACATTTGTAATATGGCTGGCCCTAAAAGATTTAATTCCTCATTTGAACTTATAAACAATTGTATAGAAACGATAGCACAACATTACTATGGGTTCTATCAGATTTATTGCGATGGGTCCAAGGACGACAATGGAACGGGAGCAGCATATTTTGATCCACAGTGTAACACGGGAGCTAGTTTTGCATTAAATTGTAAACTATCTATAATGTCAGCAGAATTGTATGCGATCTCAGAGTGTCTGTCTTACTTAAAATCGTGCAATAATATAAACTTTGTTGTACTTTGTGATTCCAAAAGCGCTTTGCAGCATATAGCTCGGTGCACCTCGGGTATACGAGGCTTGCCTGTAGCTTATTCCATATTAGAGACCTATATAAGGTTGAGAAATATTGGCAAAATAATTAAATTTCAATGGATCCCGTCGCATGTAGGTCTGGTAGGAAATGAAATAGTAGATAGGTTAGCAAAAGCAGGAATATATGAAGGAATATCTGTTAGCTATTTACCCTTCTTCACGGATATCCTAACAGACGTCAGACATACATGTTACAAAGTGTGGAAAGAATATTTTGACAAACGATCTGAAGAGAAGGGTATATGGTACAAAACTATACAATCCGAGCCACCTAAGATTCCTTGGTATACTGAGGTGAAGATGAACAGACAATTGTTGGTTACATGCTTACGTTTGCGAACCGGGCACATTCCAATGAATGCGTTTGGACATCTTATGAAAGTTACTAACTCTCCTAACTGTCTGACTTGCAATTTAAGAGAAGATGTCTACCATGCTTTGGTGGAATGTGCTCGGATTGGCGTAGACCGGAGAGAGTTAGAATACAAATACGGCATTAATTTAAGAGATGTTGGTATGTGTAACATTATTCTGTCTAAACCAACATCGAAACTAGCTTTTAAGATATGTTGTCTAATTGTTAAATTAATTAAGTTAAGATCTTAGTTATTTATCATTTTTGTTATTATTATTATTACTTTTTCTATGGGGCTGGCATCATCGCTTTGCGATTAAAGCCCTTTATCAATAAAGATAAAAAAAAAAAAATAACTCTATTTACCTGTCCAGTACTTATAAAATATGGAGCCAAACAGAAATTTTAGCTAAAATATAATGAGAGAGACAACTTAGTGAAATAATAAATTTTGCCGTTTCAAAAGTACCTATTTATGGTTTAGTTGGAATAAATGATTTTGACTTTCACTTAGACTTTGAATAGTAAATTATGGTACAAGTGTGCGGGGTTGCAGGGTAAGCGCAATAAGGCACCGCGACGTCGGCCCAGAGCAGGAGAAGGAACAGGGGGGTTTTTAGTCAGCAAGAGTCTGACACTCCCTTCCGCTCGGCCATGGGCGGGAGAAGTCATTTGATGATTATCCCTCACAAAAAAAAAAATGGTACAAGTGTGTAATGTCTTGGTGGGCGGTCGGTTGGTGTACAAAAGTCTTAAGGAGCTGAGGACGGTTATCATTATTCACTATTGATCATCCTAAAATATGTTCAAATGTAAAACATATTGACCACTAGAAGTCTCAAAGCTGAACTGACCTGCAATCTACAAGGGAAGCAACACGATGCAGCAGCCAGTCGTCTTCTGAACACCATGGCTTCTTGCCGTGTGTTGTCATGGAGATGAAGAGTGAATGCTCGCCCTGTCCCACAGAGGCAGCGCTGGGTGGAACTTGAGGTCTCGCTCGCTATGTACAACGCTTCGCCATTGGGCACTCGCACTATGTATCTGTTTTCTGACTCGATTTTTGATGTCACTGGAAAATATTAGAAACTAATTTTATTTATCTATATATATCTTTTATATATAAAAATGGATCGCAAAATGTGTTGGTAAGCGCATAACTCAACAATGCCTGGACCAATTTTGCTAATTCTTTTTTTGTGTTTCTTATTGTCAGGATAAGGTTCTTATCAAAGAAAAAGTAGAGGGGAAGATTAGAAAAAAGTGACCCTTTGATAGCGAGGTAGTTGGACCCGTGCGAAGCGGGGGCGGGCCGCTAGTTTTTGAATAAAAAAAAACAAAATATATGGAGATTTATATTTTTTTGTATAGTAGATTAGGTAGGTACTGCTTTAATGCTTTAAGTCTAAGAATGAGATTATGAATTGAAATTGAAAATGTAATATGTCTGTAGATTAGCTGTGGTTGCAGGAGCAGGAGAAGGTATAGTAAAAGTTTTACGCTACTTCTTGCCCTTCTCAAAACGGGGGAAGTCACTCAAATAAATGCTACGGCAGTAGTTTCATACACTTAAAGTGAAAAGTTATTGACAGTCTCCTATATCATGATCTCTACTAAATAATATGAAATTTTGCACCACATATTTGGTGGCTAAACATTGTGAAATTAATATTGATTAGTGTTATCTACCCGTGTACCAAGGCTTATCTACTTTATACTGGCTGTTCACGAGTGACCGATAGTTTTCCTGTTTTCACAAGTGCTGTAAGATTTGCTTAGACTATAATTATGATACCTAAGTCGTGTTGTTGAACACTAAGCCTTTCTTTGTTGATAGTAATTGGCGTTTCAGTTTGAGGAGATAAGTACTTACAAATGAATATCGTAAGAATTTGTGAGTCATTTTTTAGAATCTGATCTATTCTTTCTTTACATAAAATAAATCTCGTGAAAGTTGAATAAACGAAGTCGTAAAAGTGTTTTAAAAGTAATAAAGGTACGCACACACTACATAGTTAGTACATAGGTCCCTAATGTCCCTTACTGTCAAAAAGAACGTTTCACGATCTTAAAATAGCGTACCTAGCACTTGATTTTAAGTATGACATGAGTTTTTAGAACCAAATTCTGTCCGGCAGACCATGAGTTGTTCCAGGCTATAATCTATCTATATGTTTATTTTTATCAAAATGCATTCAGTTGTTTTTAAGTAAAACAGTAGCAAACATCCATCTTTCAATCTTTCAATACTCAAAATTTTTCGTGTTGATTAAATTAGTAGGTATGTCGTCCGTATTTGTAATGTTAACAGGATGTAGTATCGTAATTTTAGTACGATAGATAATTATGTTCTTTTAGCCTTCCAACTATTTGGAAGAGTCAGGGTACACGACTGAATTGGAAGAAGATCTAGAGGTTTTTGCTGTCTCTCTATCATAGACCTTGTTTTATTTAAGCAATAAAAACTTACGATCAGTGAGTTCCACTGTTTGTTGTATGAGCAGACTGGAGACTCCAATGAGGAACTCCAATCCATGTATGGGGATGAACTGGCCTCGGCTGTTGGTGCGCCAGTCAACTGTAGACACAGGTAGCTGGGCACGATTTGTTCCTGTATAAAACAATTTTATTGTGATTTTAAATGCAAGTGTTGGTGCTTCGGTACGAATTGGTCGCCTCGGCCTCACAGAAAATGGTGTGAAATCTCCCATTGCCCTAATCCCTTAATCTCCGAAATTCTAATCACCAAAAGGCCAGCCACCAATTCATTATTCCTGGTATATGGTGTACATAGGCATCGATTGCTAAAAGTCACAAGTCTAACAGATAAATCATTTTTTTCTTTGCAAACGTGGGTGATTACAGTGATGTTTTCCTAAAATAAATCAAAATTCAAAATGATTTTATTGTATTGTTCCGTCATTTGTACCTATAGGTAAACAGGACAAAAGGATTCCAAAGGTTTCATTCTAATTACTTATATATGACATATCAATATCTTCATATAAACTTTTATACACTATTGCCTATAATTTTTATACGTAGGTAGAGATATGTTCATATTAGTACTTAGTTTCTGATGGTTTGTTTACTTACCCTGCATTGGCTGTACACTGATAACTAAGTCCGGTCTTGCAGGTGTTCCATCGTCTGTGAAAAATTAAAAAAAATCATGGAATATTTTTTTTTGTTATTGTGGATACGTGTGTGTAACAGACAGCTGTGTTGATTTATTCGCGCTGAAGTTGCACAAAGTGTTTATCTGTTCTTCATTTAAATGTAGATAGTATTTCACTTTCTGATGTAGGTATTTATTAAACTTTGAAGTCTGTGTGGTTTCTATGTAAACTTCACCTATAATTAAGTTTCTATCAGTTTTTAAAAGTGTTTCTTATAAATAAATAGATCGAAAGTATTAGAAGTCATAAACTAGATAAATAGTAGATTCTTATTATTTCACTGTTACTCGGAAAACCTGCTTTATTAATCTTGATGACGTTATAATGTTTTATAATTTTAATTGTATGATTATACTTAATTGTTAAGTTTTAGCTAAGACTAGAAAATGTAGAATAAATAATTTTTTTTTATTGTTGAAAATCATAAGATGCCTTCTTTGGCTATTGGTGGAATGAGAGGGCTTGTCAAATGCTTACTGAATAAAAATCACCCCACTTCCTCTCCTGATCTGAACTGGGATCGCAATACATTACTGCGCTTCCACCCGCAACCACGGCTCATTCAATCCACATAAAAGTATTATCTCGTTTCCTGTTTCAACATGTATTTTATATCTTATCTGTAAGTATTTTACTTTAAATTAACGTTTAATTTACCTGTAGTAGCTGTAGGGTTGTCAACCCCTTTATTTTCCTGTCCCGTGTCAGCCATATTGATTTTTTTACCGTTTTTTTCAAATATTAAACTATTTCTTTCACTTTTAACAGGTAGATGTTATTAGTTGTCAATGCATGGACAAACTGTGTTATCTAGTTTTACTCGTTGCTATCGAGTTATCAATAAGAGATATCTCAGTTATTATCGAGTCAGCTTCGAGGTGTACAGCGATTGGTACATTAATTACATCAATGTTAATCATGTGTTTAGTACTTACGTGTGTGTTATTCAATATCATAGTTTGAAGCGGGTTTTTTACGTCACTCCTTTGTTGTTTTCATCGAATAATTATGTAGATATCATCGATATGTGATATTGTGAACTTGACTTTTTTGTTTCTTTGTAGGTACGAACAGTACCTAATTGTTTTCCGTTCTTTTATTGTGAAGGAATGATAACTGAACGTCTAAACAGAGTCGTGATATTCAGTAAGGGTGTATAACGAAAAGGAAGAAGAGATATTGTTTGAAATTAAAATTATTCATCTCTTAAAAAAAAATCGTTTCCCTACACTAGTATTTTCTCCTGTGTCGTGGGTGCGTTTACAAACATACAATTTCACATACACCAGACACCCAGACCCGGAACAACAATTAGTGGATCACACAAAGGGAGTCGAACCCGCGACACGCTGCGCGGCAGCCAGTTACCTAGCCACCGAGCCAACCGTGCAGTCAAATATTAAAAATAATTGTGTAATACGTGATTAAAAATAAATAATGGGTAGTACAAAAATAGAGTTGTGATTGAAACATTTTTTATTGAAAACCATTTATATTCGGGTGTTAGTAATAATACTTGAATAAAGTGATAACATTCAAGTCGTTAAAATGACCGGTACATACCGTACAGTAGTAGTATCTTTATAATAAATTACATTCATATATTCTATCTAATCCTCATCACTCCGACTAACATTTATTGTAAATTTCGAGATAAAACATTGTAAATTTCGCAAGGGAGTTGTAAACAACGCGGTCAGATTCGGTACAAAGGACATTTTGAAGCCAAATTTTGATCGGAAGACTTAGAGAGCGAGTGTATCCACTCTTTAAAAGACACTTGGTGACGTCAGACCTGCTCCTGCCGGTGGAGCAGCAGAGCTGGGCCGCGCCACTCCCGTGTGAACCAAATGATTTATTGTCCTAGTAAAGTCTAAGTTCCATGCCACATTAGTGCAACATGCGCTCTCAATCTCAGGCCAGATGGTGGCTGGGGGGGCGACAGACAAAGCAATACTGTTTAGAACTCACTTTTCCAATTCTTTATTCCTAAATATTAATTAAATGAATAGAAAATATAGATATAAATATAAATAGAGGTACACGTCTATGTAAAATGTACCTATATGATATTTTTCAATACACTGGAATATACTCCCATTTATAATAGTCTCATATTTTGGAATTACATTTATTATACATTTATTCTGATTAATTTCAATACTTACGTGGACACATTTTAATACAAATATATGTAAGTAAATACTTAACAACAATAAATTTACCATCTCGAGTCAATACATTCATAAACACATCGATTTTTTGAAAACCTCACATCTAATCCTGCCCCAAGTTTCACATACATTAAGATGACTACACTTGGAATACAATCGCGAAAACATATCTAGCAAAAGTCAATACAACGTTCAATATAATATAATTATAATTTCAAATTACATTTAACAATGAAAGCGTAGAATTATCGCATAAATAACATCTAGCTGATGTAACTATTGAGATCAACTTTGTGTGAACCTTAAATCTATATCCCTACGGGTCTATGGCTGGTTAGACTCGTACGAATACAATAACAAAGTTTAATTAGTTATTACTAATGGTGAAATGATATACGTTTAGGTGACGATTAAAAGAAAGTACATTAATACCATCTGATCACGAGTACAGCTCGCCGAGAGACATGAAGAGAAAGCCTTAGTCCATTAAATGTGACGGTGGCTGAAGTGATTCTCGCCTTGAGTAATGTCGCATGCTTAGTGTTGATAGTTTATCGCTGGAAGGCTCGCTGCCAACCTAGGTTGAGCTTGAGAGTGGCTGGCAGGCAGGGGCTGGCCTCGCACTCTCCGTCGAGCTCGTCAGCCAGGTTGTCGTGGAGTTCCCGTAGAGCCATCAACGCAGAGCGAGCAGCTCGCTGGCAACTCATATCTCCCTCACAAGTAGTATCAGCTTCAGAAAGGAATACCAGGTCGCAAGTGGTTGGTGGAGCCTCGCCCTATAAGAAAAGTAAATATACATTTCAGTAATCGTTATTATCGCTGCTTTTATTATATTAACTTAGTAAAAGGAGGATGAAAATTGTTTCTTACGCAAAGGTAGCAGATTTGATGTAAGCTGCAAAGCGGTAGGAACAGCTGCCCGCGGTCTCCTGCCAGCAAGTCTACACCTCGGCAACGTTGCACAATTTTGGCAAGAACTGGACAAGCACCAGATGCAGCAACTACAAAACAGAATAAAATATTTGTTTTAATAGTCTTCTCTTGCTGTGATGTACTTTTTATAAATAAGTTACTTATAGAAGATTATTTTTTACCTGTAGCCAAAACAGGGTTGCGGTGTCGGCCGCTACCGCCCATGTAACCTTCGGAGAACTGCTCCTCGATTTTTCCGTTCAAGTAATGACCAGCGCCTTGTTCATCTTCGAAATCATTATTCTTCTCAAATCCGGGAATGTCGTTGGTCATCAGTTCTACTTTCTCTTTCTTTACCACCACGCGCTTGGCTTTAGCCTCGTCAGTGGGAATCGGAGAAGGTGCTGCATTAGATTTTGTTTTCTGAATTTGCAAACTTTGTTTAAATTCTTTCAAAGCCTTCCTCATTTTTTCCAAGCTGTAAGCAGCAGCTAAGCGAGACAGTAACTTTTCTTTCATTTCCTGCTCCTCCTTGGAATCGAGTTCTTCTCCAACGTTTGAATAATGTAAAGCTTCATCCACAATCAATCCTTCCATACTTCGTAATTTTTTGTCAATATTATCGAGTTTAGAATCGTTATCGGTCGCACTTCTCTTGTTTTCATTTTGAACGGCAAGATGGGCTCGATCTATTTGAATTTCAGTTTCTTCGTTAGGTTTTGTTTCAACATAATTCCTTTTAACGTTGCTATGTTTTCGGAATGAATTTACGGGGTAAATTACTTCTTTGTTGAAGGTGTCAAAATACTGCTTCCTTAATCTGTCTTGTGTTAAACCATTCACAAAAGAGACCTGTTTGTTTACACGCTTGTCAATGCCGAAGTAATCTGACCAATCGATAGATTTCTTTCGGATGTTAAGAGGCTTATCAGTTTCACTCTGCTTCTTGTCTTCAGCATGATCATGCTCATGATCGTCCGCATGGTTGTGTCCCTGGGTATGTTCGTGTATGTGCTCCACTTCTTTGCCAGAAATTCCAGGATGATGAATGTTATGGCCATGATGTTCGTGGCTATTGTCGTCATGAACAGCGGTAATGTTATGTTCGTGGGTCATATTGTGGACAGGTGTTACCATTGGCGGCTTTACTTCATGCTCGTGCTCTTCATGATCAGTATTACGTTTCACAGGATTTTTGATAATCTCAATCTCAGAGTCACCGAAGATTTTTGAAAGATCCTTTATAAGTTTAGGATCGGTTCCAGCACTGCTTCGGAATGACTTGGCAGTGTCACGTTTATTTTGATTTTGGGCAAATCTTTTCTTTTGAGTGTTAAGGTTGTAAGAGCCACTACTGCGTTTGGTTACTGGAAAGCGCTTCTCAACTGCGTCATAAGTGTATTGATCTTCATCCGCTAAATCAGACAAGCTATCATCATCAAGTGGCTGAAACGCGATGGCATACTCTTCACGAAGGTCATCTTTATCATCATCAGAAACATCATACGCATTGTAATTAGGATCTACTACTGGTCCTGGGCTACTTTTCCGACCCTCATAGTCAAACACTATAGGCCTATCAGAGTCGGAATCAGAACTGCGCTTCCTTTTAAAAGCAATAGGACCCCAATTATCTGGATATCGTTTCTTGACAACTTTCTCTTTGTAAAGTTTGACAACTCCTTGAGGTGCACTTTCGACATTGTTAGCATGTTCTTTGTTATATTTGTACTTTGACCAGAGCTGTCCCAAGAGTAGTGCGTACTCGGCATCATTGTCCGGTGCATCATCAAGTTCCTTTTTTTCCTCAACTTCATTTTTGTCCATGAATAAGTCACGAAGTCGGTCATTATCAGAGTGGTGACTCCTTTCCCGGAACGCTGATTCTTTCTTAGCAGCACTGTTGGCCGTATTCTTTTTCTTTATAAGTTTATATTCGTAGGCTTCAGGTGGCCTTTCGTTGTCATCTAGAAGTTTCACGATGTATTTTGGGTTAGGCTCATCATCGATATCTTCGACGTCAACAGCGTAATCAGGTTCTGAAATAAGTACAAAAGATTTCAACCTTTTTGTCCACCTTGGGTTACAATTGTATTTAGGGTTTGTAGGTTTACTTGAAGCTATGGGCATTGTTAGGTTGTGTAAAGAATTTTGTTGAATGTACGTACCAGGATATCCTTGCGGTGGTACGAATTCGTAGAGGGCGTCGTAGTCTGGTTGCGGGAGGATAGGTCCATGCATGCGGCCGCGTTGGCGACGCTGCAGCGCTTCAAGGGCACCTCGCAGCGATGATCCACCACGATCGGCGCTCACGCATACAAGCGTGCAGGCCACCACAAATAGCCATTTCAGGCCCATAGTTGTGTGAGTTTCTGAAAGTAAACGAAAACTTTGTTTTAATTTAGGTTTAGAAATAAATAATAAATGATTACAAATTTTAAATATGTATCTTAACTTAAAATGCTTAGCTAACGTAGTCGCTAACTTAAATTTAAGAGGTTATTTATCCTAGAGCAGCTGTTGTGTAAATTTCATTTGTATAATGAATAAAATTAACATTAGGACTTTTCAAAATATATCAAGTAGGACGAAAGCATTGACTTTTAGAAAATTAAAACCTTGAACTTTAGAGATCAATAAAAGGGGAAAAACAACTGAGCAATTCAATTATAAGTAACTGCATTTTAGTAGTACCTAGTAGTAAAGTTTTCTGCATCAATCGTTTTGTTGTTGAAT